GAATCTTGGATCAGAGGAAGATAAAAAGGAGATAAAAATTGGCACCATCATATCTGCTGAGGGACGACAAAGTTTGATTGAGCTACTTCGAGAGTACAGAGATGTGTTTGCTTGGTCGTATGAGGACATGCCAGGTTTAGATACTGAGTTAGTGGTACATAAGTTACCAATAAAGCCCTTATGTAAACCGGTACAACAAAAGCTTAGAAGAATGCGACCTGTAATGCTACTTAAAATTAAAGAAGAAATAAAGAAGCAATTTGATGCTGGTTTCCTGAAAGTAGCCAAATATCTGGAATGGGTAGCAAACGTCGTTCCAGTACCAAAGAAAGATGGGAAAGTTCGCATGTGCATCGACTACAGAGATCTTAATCGGGCCAATCCGAAAGATAATTTTCCTCTGCCACACATAGATACCCTGGTGGATAATACGGCTGGAAACTTTCTATTTTCGTTTATGGATGGGTTTTCAGGTTACAATCAAATAAAGATACATCCAGATGATATGAAAAAACTACATTTTTCACCATGTGGGGCACGTTCTGTTACAAGGTGATGCCGTTTGGGCTTAAGAATACAGGAGAAACTTATCAAATGGCCATGGTAACACTATTCCACGACATGATGCATAAGGAAATAGAGGTCTATGTCGATGATATGATTGTTAAAGCTAAAACAGAGGAAGAACACATTGAGAATCTGAGGAAACTCTTCCAAAGATTAAGGAAATGCCAGTTAAAACTCAATCTAAGCAAGTGTACCTTCGGGGTAATATCGGGAAAACTCTTGGGGTTTGTAGTAAGCAAAAAAGGGATTGAAGTAGATCCTGGCAAGGTCAAAGCTATACATGATTTACCACCCCCACAAACACAAAAAGAAGTTTGAGGATTCCTGGGAAGATTAAACTATATTGGCCAATTTATTTCGCAATTAACTGAGAAGTGCGATCCCATTTTTTGCATTATCCGTAAAAAAAACCCAGGGGTGTGGAACGATGATTGCCAAGGATCTTTTGAAGCAATAAAAGAATTTTTGTCGAATGCTCCAGTCTTAATGCCACCAATATCAGGCAAACCATTAATCCTCTTCTTGTCAATCTTTGAGAATTCAATGGGGTGCGTATTACGGCAGCATGACCAAACTGAGAAAAGAGAAAGAGCAATCTACTACCTCAGTAAAAAGTTCACTGATTGCGAGACAAGGTACTCACCAATATAAAAGTTCTATTGTGCTTTAGTTTGGACTACCCGAAGGCTCATGCAGTATATGTTGTATCACACTACTTGGCTGATATCTAAACTTGATCCTCTGGAATATCTAATGGGTTACCTGCTTTATCCGGAAGATTGCTCGTTGGCAAATCTTATTGTCTGAATTTGACATCAAATATGTAAGCCAAAAAGCAATTAAAGGAAGAGTTGTGTCCGATTTCATTGCAAGTATGGCTTCTGAAGAGTATGAACCACTGAACTTCGATTTTCCGGACGAAGATTTAATGGTTATTTCAACTGAAGAGGAAGTGTCCTCTACTAATGAACAGTAGAAGATGAATTTCGATGGTGCCTCAAACGACTTGGGGCACGGAATTGGGGCAATTTTGGTCTCACCTGGTGGAAAACATTATCCTTTTACTAGCCGATTGAACTTTGATTGCACGAATAACATGGCCGAGTATGAAGCATACATCTTGGGTCTTAGAGCTGTCATTGAGCGTAAAGTGAAAAAACTTAAAGTATTCGGGGATTCAGCCCTGGTAATTTATCAACTCAGAGGTGAATGGGAAATAAAGGATGCGAAGTTAGTGGAATACCGTAAGTTGGTCATAAAGCTCATTAAAGAATTTGAGAAAGTGACATTTCTTTATTTCCCCAGAGAAGATAATCAAATGGCGGATGCCCTAGCCACTTTGGCAGCAGCCTTTAAAGTCAATGAACATTCAAGCATGATGCCTATTACGATGCAAGCTTATGGGTATATAGCCCATTGCTATGGCATAGAAGAGGAAGATGATAGAAATCCTTGGTATTACGACATCTTACAATACATTAGATATCAAAGTTATCTTGAGCAGGCCACTGAAAATGACAAAAGAACTATTCGAAGAATGGTCGTAGGATATGTGCTTGATGGAGAGATCCTGTATAAGAAAATTCATGATCATGTCTTGCTACGATGTGTGGATGCCAAAGAAGCTAGAACGATCATTGAAGAAATGCATGAAGGAGTATGTGGTACCCATGCTAATGGGCATGCAATGGCTAAACAAATAATGAGATTTGGGTATTATTGGTTAACCCTGGAAACTGATTGTATCAATTTCGTCAAAAATGTCATAAATGCCAGATTTATGGAGATAAGCTCCATACCCCTCCTCATTCATTGTATGTAATGACTACTCCATGGTCATTCTCTATGTGGGGCATGGATGTTATTGGGCAAATTTCACCCAAATGTTCTAATGGCCATCGTTTCATATTCGTGGCAATAGACTACTTTACTAAATGGGTAGAAGCAACCTCCTATGCAAATGTTACTCAGTCAATAGATTGCAAGTTCTTGAAGAGAGAAATTATTTGTCGATATGGGCTACCAAAAAGGATCATCACTGACAATGCCTTGAATTTAAACAACAAGATGATGAAGTCAGCATGTAAACAGTTCCAGATTAAACATCATAATTCTACCACCTATCGCCCAAAGATGAATGGAGCGGTAGAGGCAGCCAATAAGAACATCAAGAGCCTCATACAGAAAATGACTGAGACTTATAGAGACTGGCATGAGAAGCTACCATTCGCTCTGTTTGCCTATCGAACTTCAGTGAGGACGTCCATTGGGGCAACTTTGTTTTCTTTAGTTTATGGGATGGAGGTTGTGCTACCCATCGAGGTTGAGATTCTGTCACTACGAGTGCTGTCAGAGGTTAAGCTAGATGAAGTAGAATGGGTACAAGCTAGGTATGATCAGTTGAATTTGATTGAGGAAAAAAGATTAAAAGCTATCTGTCACGGGCAAATGTACTAGAAACGTATGATAAGGGCACATAACAAAAAAGTTCGCCCACAAGAGTTTCAAGAAGGAGACCTGGTGCTAAGAAAGATTTTGTCAATTCAGAAAGACTTTCGAGGTAAATGGATGCTAAATTGGGAAGGACCTTATGTGGTAAACCATACATTTTCTGGAGGAGCTTTGATCCTCACCGAGATGGATGGACCATAATTACCTAACCCTGTGAATGCTGACTCAGTAAAGAAGTATTTTGCCTGAAAAAAATGAAAAAGAAAAGAAAAAAGGAAAGAAAAATGAGGAAAAAAGAAAAAGAAAATAAAAGGAGGGTTCAAGATGAAAACCCGTAAAGGGCGTCTTCAAACCAGAAAAGGTTTCAGGTTGAAAACCCGTAAAAGGCGGCATGAGAATTATGTAAATTCACAATTCGTGCATGGAAGAAATACTGAATTAGTTTTGAATAATTGAAATGGTAGTCAAAGTCAGGGTTAGAATTCATAAAGCACGGGTAATAAGAAAGTAAACGAGATTCAAACACTGGCTTACGACATCCAAATGTCGGGAATTTGGCAGTACAGGGGAACTTCACACCCTTAAGCATTACCATAATCCTCAAGATCCCCTCGACAGAAGCTACACTCGGGTCTTCCTACGGTGTGCCAGTTCAAAAGCATTCGTACTATTGATATTTGATGATGCCTACTATGTTTTATTTTGATTATTCTAGTTAAAAGTTTGCCATGTATTTACTTAAAAAAATCTTTATTTTTAAATAAAAAAGGTCTTTTTCCACATTGCAAGCATTCTAATTAAAAAATGAAAACATGTAGATTAGCTCGGGAAACATGAGATCATCGTGCATTATTGTACAAAAAGTTTTGAAAAAATACAGGTATTCCGAAGCTGAAAATGGTCTTAGTATGAGGTTTACGCGATGATGGGCCACAAGAAATTAAGGTCTTGTGATACACCCAAAGGCTCTCTAAAAGGAAAAGATAGAGATCTAAGGACCCAACATAAAAATAACAAGTTCAGATTTTCATGTGTGGTGGTGGTAAGACGAACTCCCGTAAGAGAAATCGCTTTCAAATAATATTTTCCCGAAACTTTCAGGTATGATGTTTTCGAATCCTCAAATACATACTAAACAAGGTCAATGTTTAATTTTCAGGTTTGATTTTCGTACAGACGAGAAAAACAAATCGAATCCGATCCAATCTTCCCTGAGTGACAGCGAAATGGATCAACTCCTCCAGATCTGATATTCCCTTAGAAGAAGTGGAATAGATCACCATATTCCAAGATTTGATATTCCCTGAGTAACAGCGGAATAAGTCTACCTCGATTCAATGGATTAACTCCTCCAGATCTGATATTCCCTTAGAAGAAGTGGAACATATCACTCTATTCCAAGATTTGATATTCCATGAGTGACAGCGGAACAAGTCTACCCCGATTCAATGGATCAACTCCTCCAGATCTGATATTCCTTAGAAGAAGTGGAACAATCACCCTATTCCAAGATTTGATATTCCCTGAGTGACAGTGGAACAAGTCTACCCCAATTCAATGGATCAACTCCCCAGATCTGATATTCCCTTTAGAAGAAGTGGAATAGATCCCTCTCATCCCCAGATTTGATATCCCTTGAGTGATAGTGGAACTGATCATTTATCTAATTTAGTTGACCGGACGAAAAATGCATTGTCTCTCCGTCTTTGCCCTATTCATGTTGATATAAGAATGAGCAAAGAGGGGCAGTTTTCGACACTCGATATTTTCATCCCGTTATTATTAAGTTATTATTATTATTATTTAAGATTACTAACATAATTTTATTTACAGATTCAACCCAAATACCCCAAACCCAAATTACAGTCCAGCAAACCTAAGGTTGAAAACCCAATACCAACTAGGGTTTCATCATGTAGCTTCAGCCGCCACTTCATCTCAGCCGCACGATCAAGTTGGAGATGGACGGTCTAGATCAACCCTCAGTTAAGATTTCCCCCTTGGATGCTGTTGTCGCCTTGCAAGAGTCGTCCGATCTGGACCCATCCAACGGTCCAGATCAAGCCCAGGCCACCGAATCTGGCACCATCACAGTCTTCTCCACCAACTGACAACTGGATTCACAAGTCAAACATCAAGACCAAGACAAACCCGTGATTTCAATATATTTTTTACTTCACTCATGATGTTTCAGAAAAAACAAGAAAAAAGAAAGTAAAAACCTATTGTAGAATCGGTTATATAACCTGAATGAAAAAATGTAAAGAGGGGGACTCCCAGATTCGAAAAGTAATAAAAATAACAGAGTTATTTTCAAGGTATATTTTAGTTTCAAAAACATAGAAATAAACTATTTGCATACAATATATATATATATATATATGCGAGTCTAAAAGAGGGTCGATCAGTAGCTTACTTGAGTCGGAGGGAGCCTTCACGGTGGTCAGAGTTTTAGGAAACCGAATAGTCAGGGTTAGATTTGTGGTTGTTTAGGGAGTTTTTAGGTTTAGTTTGGTGCCTATGGTAGTAGATCTAGGTGTTGGGATCTTTTTGGGTGAATTTTGGGGCTCCGGCCACCATACAAGGTGGCCGGAATGACGGCCAAATGACAAGTTGGGTTGGTCGGGAAGTGTCCGGCCGAAGATTAAGAGAACTTCTCTCATTTTTTTAAAACCAAGTGAAAATGAAACAAAAAAAAAAGATAAAATGGCGGTATATATAGGCTAGTTTAATGGTATAATTTCATCTTAAATGACTCTAATTTTAGCGTGTTTTACAAAATAGTCACTAGTAGGGACCAATTTCATTATTTTTCCATTTTTCTCTATGTTTTATAATTTTTGATTTAATCATAGTTTAATCCCCTACATTCACCTCGTATTTGCACTTTGGTCATCGATTTTGCAGTTTTTATATTTCAGTTTCGAAATTATTATCCTGATTGTGTAATTTTTTTTCTTATTTCATTAATATTGGCTGAGATAAATAATTGGTAAAATTGTATCTTTAATATTCAGCATCGGATCCCTTTAACTTTAGTGATAGAATAGCTTTTTAGGTAGTATTGATCATTGTTCCCTATGATTAAAGTAATATTCTTTTAATTATGTGATATGTTTGTTTATTAACTCACGTTGGTGGTGTCTTATATATATTTTATGTATGATTACTTTACCTTCATATTATATATTTAAAAGTTGGTAATTCTCATAATATATTTTATGCCATTTACTTTGTAGTTTGTAAACATATATGGTATATAACATATTTTTGTAAGCATATATATATATATATATATATATTATTTAAGTGTATTATATATATATATATATATATATATATATTATAGTATGTAGAATGTATATTTATTTTATTATCCATATTATGTAATATATATATTATAGCATATATAACATGCGTAACACTTATATGTATATATTATAATTATTTTTATTAATTTACATAAATATATATATATATATAATTTATGCATATTATTTTTATTAAACATCAATCTATGAATCTATATATATATATATATATTAGTTGGTTGATAATTTAGTATTGGTACAAAATCACCACTTTTGTTTGTTTAAGATATAGTAGTTTGTTTTTTTATTATAATAATATATATATAATTATTATAATATTTTCCCCCACTTATTTCCTTAATTTAAGCTATAGTGGTTTAGTTTTTTTATTGATTATAATAATATATGGAATCATTGTAATGTTTGTTTCTTCACTCTACTAATGTAAGCTACGTATGATGTTTAATTTCTTAATAATATATATGTAAACATTATACTATTTGTTTCCCACTAGTTTCCCTAATTTAAGCTTTGATTTGTTTGATTTAATATACTTTCTTATCATGATATTTTCTTTATTATAATTTATTGTCCATAATTTGTTTTAATTTAAGGGTCACGTTTCTTTCATTTGTTTTTTTATGTTCACATGATGATTCCTTATTATGTTTTGATGCATGTGTCTTATTTTTATTTATCTTTAATTAAATATTTTTGATGTATTTTCATTTTCATTTAAATACATTTATGTGTACATATGTTTTGCATGACATCTTAATTAATTTTACATGATAGCCTCATAAGCATCCCTTGACTCTAATCGAAATAAATTGACTAAGGATGATATTCGATCATTTTAAAATTATCGAAAGAAATTTTCTAATACGTGAATATTTAATCCATTTTAATGTATAACATTAAACTTTAATACTAGAACTTACATTTTAGATTTGAGCCCTTAAGTTCCTTAATTTTCATAATTTGACACTTTAAGTTAGAATAAGCCTTAATTTACTTTTAGTTTAATTAGGACAAATAAAATTTTGTTTGATTGCATTGTTTTTTTACAAATCTAAGGCACTGTTCACTTGTTAAGGAATTAATAGTATATATCCCGCGATCGTGCTCAGGGGGTGACTACTTGTAATTCCTTGAATAAGTCGACATCCTTTTCAAAATCATATCATGTTTTCTAAAAATGAGGTAATATACCGTTATTAGGCACAATAGTTGATCTCCCGCATTTATGCTCGAGGGCGAATGCTATCGGTCTCGATAAACGAATACCCTTTTCAACTTTGTATCCTTAATGATTTTAAAATTAAATAAAGATCGAACTCCAAATTTCTGATTTTAAATATAGGGTAATCAACTAGGTACAAATTTTTGGGCGCTTGTGGGGGTGTTAATCCTTCCCCACGCGTAACCGACTCCTGAACCTGATTTCTAGATTTTCGCAAACCTCAAAACTCGGTATTTTGATAAAAACAAAATGTTTTATTAAAATCATCCGGTTTTTATAGTGTTCCATTCGCACCTCAAATGATTGCTGGCGACTCCTCACCTTTCGAAATGATTTTCAAAGAGAAAACCCCAGTCGATATCGGTCTTTCCCCGCCCGGGCGAAAAACGGTTACGACAGAAACATTATTAGGCGCTACCGGTTTTGTTATTATTGGGCGTTTTACCGGATTTTGATAAAAATGACCGGAAACATTATTAGGCGCTACTAGTTTTATTATTGTTGGGCATTTTTACCGGAAATGTTAAAAAATGATGTTTTAGGTAAAAATAATAATATTTTAGGTAATTTTTATCAGTTTTATTATTTAAACAATAACAAAACTGGTAGCGCTTTATTTTAGCATTATATTAAGGTGTCGTACTGTAGAACTTTCCAATATATTCTAATTATAAATGTTAGATTTTAAACTCTTAACCTTATTTAAAGAATTTAATATTTTATCTTACTGAACTAACTGATTGTGATTATATTATGATGTCATTTGTCGAGAAAGATCGAGATTGGATTTCGTACATTACCACCAACTTTATGGTATGAAGTCTTTTCCATAGATACAAATTTCTCTTGTTTTCTTTAGTTTGTTCGTTTATATTATGTATCTATCAACACCATAATTTCCATATCAATAATCAACAAAATTGACGTGATGTTTGATATATGGCTTATCAGCTTAATACTTGGGCTTCAAGGTTATGATTTTAATATACATGGTTAAGTGTATAAACTATATTTTAAATTGATTTTTGATGTCTGAAGAATTTTTTGTTAAAAATATGTGTTTATTGTTTCCTCTGTTACACTTTTAAGTGTCTACAGTAAATTTTTTTGATAATAAAAATTTTATTTAAAAAAACCCTCTCATCATCCCTCTCCCTCCCATCCCCCCATCTCTGACGACGATGATGTAACATCCCAAAAGATGGGTCAGTGACTTAAATGCAAATTTTGAAAACTTAATGCTCAATTTTGAAATAAGTTAAAAGTTCAGAGATTTAATTGGAGAATTTTAATGTTGGATTTAATAATGAAGTTTGAAAATAATAAGGATAGTATGGTCATTTTGCAAGGAAGATTCTTATAATTCCTTTATAAGGAATTAACTCACGTGGAAGAGGAAAGAAAGGCCAAGTTGATTCACATGGAAGAGGAAAGAAAGGCCAAGTTGATTCCAGAGTTTTCTTCTTCTCCCTCTTTCTTCCTCATACGTGAGAGCTCAAAGAAAAGGTAAGTTTTCTGGGTAATTGATTATTTGTTGATTTTAAGAAAAGGTTTTGAATCTTAGGTGATACTTAAGCTTAAGGAAAGCTTAAGTCATCTTAAAATCAAAGAATAAAGAAGTTATGAGAGATTAAGTAAAAGGAGTTTTTAAGTGAATTATTGAAATAGAAGGTTTAAATGAATTTGGAAGTCGAATTTGACTTGTCATCTATGAGAATAAGAAGTTATAAGAATTAGAATTAAGTTTGGATAACATGGAAAATGTGGTAAAATTCTTGGTTTTAAGGATTTGGGATATATATGGAAGAAAATAAGGTGTTGGAAGGATAGAAGTTGGTTAAAGTGATCATAGTTAAGTTTGGTAGCATAACTAGGGCTTTATACTAGAAAATTGGGTGAAGTGTTGATAATTTTTGGGTAAAAACAACCTATTATGGGAAGGTGCATCGATGCACTATGAATGTGTACCGATGCACTAAGAATAATTTTGAAGATGCATCAATGCACATTGTAAGGCATCGATGCATGGTAATTTCGAAGCTATTTTGTGTACCGATGCACCCATAGTGCATCGGTACACCCCTAAGGAAAAAAGTGAATTATGGTTAATTAAATTCGTTTAAGCTATCAATATTAAATTAAAAGGTTTAGGCATATGATAATTGCCTTAAATCTTATATTTATGTAGATATCGAGCCTAGACAAGTTTCGAAAATTGGGCAAGTAAGATCAATCGAGGAATAATAGGAGATCAATATTGATTAGTGAGGCCAGGTGAGTGCTTATTAGTTATTATACGAGGTTTAATGGAACTAAGATCTGCGATAAGTCTAGTTCCTATATTAGAATGCATGAGTTTATGATTATATACATGTGTCTGATCTGAGTATATGTGATATATGTTATGATATGTGACATAAATTATGTGAATACATGTAGTGCGATAAGCCATATGAACTAATATGAATGATCTATATGATTAAATAAGAATAATGATATCAATGATAATGTAATCATTGTTATAAGATATATGATATGAGTATAAGAGAATGT